CATGCAAATGTCACATTGGGAACATTTTCCCCATCGTTATCAAACCCTAACGTTCCACCTAGTTCCTCTCACCGGCTCGTTAGTTCCTGCATAGGAAGCGTAAGACTCTCATCTAGCATATTGAGCACTTTCTCAGTGTCCCATGGATTCACCCTCAGACTGCCTGTCAACACTTGACTACAGCCCGAGAACTCCGAGCAGACCACCCGCCCCAACAGCGCTCCCTGCTGGTCTAGAACACAACGAGGCGATGCCGTTGGGTCTTCGTCTACATTCAAAGACAACGCGTAGCGAGCTGAGAGATACCTGAGCGAAAACGTGGGAAAATATACACATGATCAACTACAAGTGTCAGCGACAATACGAAAATTTTGAGTTAATTTTGCGTGCCCTGCTTCGTGAGGAAACTCCCGAAATCAGCTGAGAAGAGCGAACATATATTCCCCCAACACTGCTCAGGAGTGTTACTTTCGTGATCCATGAAGGAGTGGTACGATAGCAAAGTTGAACATCGACCGTACTGGTTTTTTCGAGACATTTACCGGGAGAAAATCTAGTTATAGAGAACGTTAAGAGGTGAGGCCCTCAAAAGATACTGTGGGGCTCGCATGGCCATACCCACTGAAAACCGCCAGGGGCCGGCCGGGTCCAAAAGGCAAAACATCTGATGGAGCCAGCCCCCTCTCACAGAGGATGGAGGCCGCGCGCCGCACATCTCCATGTGTTTAGTAAGAATGCTAAGCCGTAGTAATAGCTGTTAACATAACCCATTTCTGGTCACCTCCTATCACTCTACTGTTGACCACATTGTCCATAATATTCAAGTTTCACCCATGAGTGAAAAAAAAATTTTCATTTCACTTCGCGGAAGACAATTGTGTTATCGGTTGCGGAATTATACGCCTGATAATTTACATGGACTATTACATCACTTCATGTCGAACAGGTGAAACTCCATCACACAAAGTGTTAGTATCACAATTCACGAGGCTGGTGTTTCCCGATCGGTATATAACATTACTATCTCACTACTTCCCAATGGATCACAATACTAACAGGCGTTGATTCCAACCGTCACTGCGCCACGAAATTCCACCTTACTCAAAGGGCGCCAAATTGAGCCCATCCTTAAGACTAGTGTCCAACAACATATCCGATACTGCCATAGTCGCCAGCCGATCCTCTGTTCCGATATCACCAGCGTAGAAGAACACATGAGGACCCATACTGTCGTTGATCTCCTTTGCCAACGCTGATATCTAAAAGCCGTTATTATTACATATCACTACATA